GCCTGGGCAACGAAGGAGTGGCTTCGTAAGAAGTATTTCAAGGTCCTGGAGTGGCCTAGCCAGTCTCCCGATCTCAACCCCATAGAAAATCTTTGGAGGGGGTTGAAAATCCGTGTTGCCCAGCGACAGCCCCCAAACATTACTGCTCTAGAGGAGATCTGGATGGAGGAATGGGCCAAAATACCAGCAACTGTGTGTGAAAACCTTGTGAAGACTTACAGAAAATGTTTGACCTCTGTCATTGCCAACAAAGGGTATATAACAAAGTATTGAGATGAAATTTTGTTATTGACCAAATACTTATTTTCCACCATAATTTGCAAATAAATTCTTTAAAAATCCTACAATGTGATTTTCTGGAAATTTTTTTTCTCATTTTGTCTCTCATAGTTGAGGTATACCTATGATGAAAATTACAGGCCTCTCTCATCTTTTTAAGTGGGAGAACTTGCACAGTTGGTGGCTGACTAAATACTTTTTTGCCCCACTGTATATTAATGAAAAAAAAGAAGAAAGGAAAGAAAAAGACTGAGATTAAGGTTAAGATTTAGTGGAAAATGTATAGATTAAGGTTAAGATTTATCAATTTTTATCTCTAATAAGTTATAATATTTCTAAAAATGTATTATAATTGTTATTAATTATTATTAAAAATTAGAAATATTCTCTATGCTTTTCTTATTGATTTCGTTTATTGGAGTGATTTGTTTAGTCATTTCATCAAAATAAAAACAGAACATAATAATCGGTTCTGCATATCGGGATTCGGTTATTGCAACACTTAAAATAATCTGCATTATATCTATTGTACAAAAGCAATATTGATCAGCCTCTATAAGGAAATGGTTAGTATAAAATCTGATCAGATTTCTAATCAGAACATAATACCTAATTAAAATATAGTTGCTGACATAGACATAAAATAAGAATATAAATACAATGTATAAATGCCTGCTAATAAATGTTTTAATGACAAAAAAATAAAGAACATCTTGAATAAAAAACTGAAACGGCTCTGAAGAAAAGAAGCGCCTTTGGCAAAACAGTTGGGCCATCCACTGGAGTCTGATTACCATAAAGAGACACTGACAGTATAATCTAGGCCTCTCTCATCTTTTTAAGTGGGAGAACTTGCACAATTGGTGGCTGACTAAATACTTTTTTGCCCCACTGTATATTAATGAAAAAAAAGAAGAAAGGAAAGAAAAAGACTGAGATTAAGATTTAGTGGAAAATGTATAGATTAAGGTTAAGATTTATCAATTTTTATCTCTAATAAGTTATAATATTTCTAAAAATGTATTATAATTGTTATTAATTATTATTAAAAATTAGAAATATTCTCTATGCTTTTCTTATTGATTTCGTTTATTGGGGGTGATTTGTTTAATCATTTCGTCAAAATAAAAACAGAACATAATAATCGGTTCTGCATATCGGGATTCGGTTATTGCAACACTTAAAATAATCTGCATTATATCTATTGTACAAAAGCAATATTGATCAGCCTCTATAAGGAAATGGTTAGTATAAAATCTGATCAGATTTCTAATCAGAACATAATACCTAATTAAAATATAGTTGCTGACATAGACATAAAATAAGAATATAAATACAATGTATAAATGCCTGCTAATAAATGTTTTAATGACAAAAAAATAAAGAACATCTTGAATAAAAAACTGAAACGGCTCTGAAGAAAAGAAGCGCCTTTGGCAAAACAGTTGGGCCATCCACTGGAGTCTGATTACCATAAAGAGACACTGACAGTATAATCTAACCTTGTACTTTGGCATCCGTCTGTACTCCGGCATCCCTCACATTGCGCACTTCCTCGCCGTTTGGAATGGATCTGTTTCCCTCGAAATCCCGGTGAGACCGCCGACTGTCGGATGTTGCCATTCAACCGCGATCAACATTGACCTGTCATTGACTAAACAGCTCAGAACAACAGCAGCCCGTCCGCCTTCATGCGGTCCTCGTTCTAGTTGCGCTGACGTCACCAGTAGGCGGGTCGTCTGTTCTTAAAGGCTCGCCTGTTTCTATTCCCTAGAAATCTGATTTATAGCATACAGTAAAATTATTTACACAGCATACCAAAAGTATGTGGAGTCCCAAACACCACACCCTGCCCAATGGATATAGAACTTAACAACCATTGCATTAACAGTTAGTCTTCTCTAGCAGCTTGCAATCTTCTACAAGATACTGGAACATGGATGCAGGCATATGCTCTCATTCAGTCACAGGAGCATCAGTGATGCTGGGAGATGGTCTGACTCACCAAAGTCTTCAGTGGGGTTCAGATCTGGGCAGGCCAGTCAAATTCTTCCACACGGACTCATTAATCTTTGACTGATGCCATATGTCGCAGTGGCAGACTGAGGCACTGACTGTACAATCTCTTCTATTACAAAATATGATTTTACACACCAGCTAATGGGCGTAGCTGAAATAGCCAAACCTGTGAATTAAGTGGGTGTGTCTACATCAGGGGTGCCCAAACTCGGTCCTGGAGGGCCGGTGTCCTGCAGAGTTTAGCTCCAACTTGCCTCAACACACCCCCCTTCAAGTTTCTAGTATGCCTAGTAAGAGCTTGATTAGCTGGTTCAGGTGTGTTTAATTGGGGTTGGAGCTAACCTCTGCAGGACACCGGCCCTCCAGGACCGAGTTTGGGCACCCCTGGTCTACATCATTTCTAGACATTTACTCATTTCGTAGAATGACTTCACAATCACAGCTGCCTTATTACCTGAAACAGGGATTTAACTATAATTAATAGTGGTTTCATTTCATGAGAAATCAAACTACAGGATGACATTCAGGAACTTTAATTAGTCACATTTATAAACAAATTAATGCTATTGCTGAAATGAATCATTAATAAAATTATGAAATGACGTAAAATAAATTAACTAAAATAATTATTCACTTTATAATTGTATTAAATAAAGGCATAATAAAATCTGATTCATGTGTTGTGAAGTTAAACCCTACTATTTCCATATCACATGCTTTACAGTCTAAATAGATACATCTACAAAAAATAAATATGCTGGCATATTGGTATACATAATAAAAAAAAATACCCAATGCAACTTATAACAAAAGCTTTATTTATCTTTATAGTATCAGGTTTTATAACTTACAAGAGAAACTGTGGCACACATAATGTGCACAGATTAATTTACAAAACTGTACAGTATATACATGTGAAAAACAAATACCATTGGTTAATATGTAACAAACAAAAAATCTTACCATAGGCATTAGTATTATGAAGTGTTTCACACCTTTAAAAAGGTGCAACTGTAAAGATTCATATACAGCGTCTAGTGATCTTACATGAGTAGCTCCTGTACAGGAAACTACTAGTGCAACTATGAATAATACTCGTTATATTTGAGCAAACTTAAACATCAGACTGGTCAAGTGCAACAGTCATTGTTGTACATGCTGCTTTAGTAATTCACAGTGGCAGCACATACTGAACTAAGCGATAGCAGACAGTGGTCTTCCTAATCTGAAGGGAAAAAATGCCTACGTTTTAAGACTCAAATCAAGCCAAAACAAAAACATCACATAGCAGAAATTATTTTGGTCAATAACATTAAGACAAAAATGAGTCAACAACATAAGGGGCCACATCAATAAGGTCTGCTGACTGTATCTGATATAATGCACATTTACACATCCCAGCCAATAGAGTACAATAACAACCAGCAACTTGTAATGCACTGCATCACTGCAAGAAAGAAATCTGATAGTGACCTCTATTCAATATTACCTGTGCAAAAACGTATAAGGGACAAACAAAAACAATGAATTAGTCTCTTTGTCAGCTTTTTAGTGGTGCATGTTTAAGTAATACAATTAAATTATGCCTCTGTTTAGCCCAAACCCACTCTCATTTTATTATAGTGTGCAAACACCCTTCCCATCTGCAGCACTACAAATTATCATTAGCACTAAGCAATGTCTTTTCCAAAAAGTTGTGTAAAACATAAATGGGAATGTCCCGTCTGGCTGAATATCTTTGGTAACAGATGAGTACGAAATGGTTGTAGTTGAGACTAACACAGACATTGACCCTTCTACATGAATCTTATCCATTATGAAAGTTCCTCTCCTGCTCAACAGGGGGCGCTGTGTTTTAATGACTGTCTGGTGTAACAGCGCCTACTAGCTGTGAGGAGGACTGATGGGTTCCTTGACTAACACACTGAGCGTGTGTGTGTATCTAGGTGGCTGTCAGAGTCAGTTTTTGAAGGCTCCACAGTGGCCGGCTCTGGAGATAAACTCCTTCAGCATGTTGCCGTCGATCTGCCAGAATGCAGCTGTCTGCGTGACCTCAGTCAAGTGGTTCACACAGAATTTAAAACAGAACTCCTCTAGATCCTTCACATGAAAGAAAGCATGAATGTGCAATTATGAGTGACTGAACAAGCGAGCAAGAACAATCAACATTACCATCCATGATTAGCATTACAAGCTTACAATATTGAGTTTCTGTATTACCTTTCAAAAGGATTTTACTTGATTAATTGCAAAGAGCAAGCAAACAAAATAAGACAGGAAGGAGCTAACAGGTAAAACAGGTGTCTGCTTAAGTGCTCTGGCAAACCAGGCCTCCAGCGTGGTTTAGTGTTACCTCGGCATCATATCTGATGGCAGCAGACAGCAGAGAGAAAGCGTTCTCCACCGTGATTCCTCTCTTTATGATATGCTGGCACAACTTCTTCAGCCTGTTTTCACAGTATGAGGTTGCCAGATCCAGTAACCCTGTGAGAGACATCCAAATCCATTCATTTTTTGATGGGTACAAAAAAAATGTTCCAACCGTCCTGAATTTTCTTTTGTTTTATAACATGAATAGAAAGTGAACTGCAACCTGGCAACAAAAATGAGATCGGAGTCCACTTCAAGGCTAGGTAAGACTAATAGGTTTTTTTCTACTTGGTGTAGTTTCGGTCCATTATATTAAAGGGGTCATATGATGCGATTTCATTTTTTCCTTTCTCTTTGGAGTGTTACAAGCTCTTGGTGCATAAAGAAGATCTGTAAATTTGCAAAGACTAAAGTCTCAAATCCAAAGAGATATTCTTTATAAAAATTAAGAGTCTGCCACGCCTACCTAAAACGGCTCGTTCGAACACGCCCCCACATATCTACCTCACTATGTGGGAAGATTTGCATAACGCCGTCCAAATGTTCATGCAAAGAAAGAAGGCGTAACTTTTATTCTCGCTGTAGTATTTTTGTCGCTGCCGCCATGTCGTGAAGGTGCTGTGTGTTTCATTGTGAAAGCAAAACTACTTTGTTTGGTCTTCCAAAAGAGGACGATATCCACTTCGTCATGCCTGGAGCTGATCCGTGCTGGTCACTGAGGGAATACATCAACTTGGAACGCTGACACATTTTATGGAGGACTGTTTACTGATCCTGGGAGAGTAACGTTAGACTAAAATGCCGGCAGTTCTAATTATTAATCACGAAACTGGAGTGAGGACATCACCTGATTTTGAGAACAGCTTTATGGACATGGATATACTTCCCGTCGACACTGAATTTGAGGTCAGAGGTCTCAGGGTTGTCAAACTCTTTTTTAAGGGACTGGGCCACGGTCAGGAAGTCATCATGCTCTGATAGCAAATACAGCACAGTTATGTAACAGCAGAGACTGTTTCAATTGCGTATATTAATTAACGCATTAATGCGCATTAAATAACAGCAGTATGAAATACTGTAACTGCATTAAGATTCAAACAACAGAGCAGCCAAAGAGAACTAAACCCTTTAAAATGTAACCTACATATTTAACCCACTACTGAAGTGTTTCTAAAGAGACTGATAAAAGCGAAATTGTTACATGCAAAAGAAACGGAAAGATTTTGTTTGGATTATTGGATTAGCATGTGACACGGAGCAATTTTAACAGACTTTTCTATATTCTGAAACTATTTGATTAGTCCATGCCATCAGATTCACAGTATGTCATTGGTTTAACCCTGATTAATGGACACATCTGTGCACCAATAGGTTGATCTTGGCATTTTAACCAATAGGCAGTGTTTTAAATAAACCACAATGGAAAAAATTTGACTTAAAAATACCTCCATGTGAGAAACACAGCTGAATCAGTCTGTGGTCCACTAAAGCCTCTAACTCTCTTACCCTAAATAAGAGTACATCTCAGAGAAATACTTCTTTAAAAGAGACATTCTGTGATAAACACAACTTATTATGCAGTCCTTTTTTGTCCGTCTTATCATAAAGCAAATTCGCCAACAGTGGCATTGCTAGTCTAGCATACAGTGGGTACGGAAAGTATTCAGACCCCCTTAAATTTTTCACTCTTTGTTATATTGCAGCCATTTGCTAAAATCATTTAAGTTAATTTTTTTCCTCATTAATGTACACATAGCACCCCATATTGACAGAAAAACACAGAATTGTTGACATTTTTGCAGATTTATTAAAAAAAGAAAAACTGAAATATCACATGGTCCTAAGTATTCAGACCCTTTGCTCAGTATTTAGTAGAAGCACCCTTTTGATCTAATACAGCCATGAGTCTTTTTGGGAAAGATGCAACAAGTTTTTCACACCTGGATTTGGGGATCCTCTGCCATTCCTCCTTGCAGATCCTCTCCAGGTCTGTCAGGTTGGATGGTAAACGTTGGTGGACAGCCATGTTTAGGTCTCTCCAGAGATGCTCAATTGAGTTTAAGTCAGGGCTCTGGCTGGGCCATACAAGAACAGTCACAGAGTTGTTGTGAAGCCACTCCTTCGTTATTTTAGCTGTGTGCTTAGGGTCATTGTCTTGTTGGAAGGCAAACCTTCGGCCCAGTCTGAGGTCCTGAACACTCTGGAGAAGGTTT